ATCGAAGTCGTGTTTACTGACTATGAAACGTGGAAGGAAGAAATCCACTGGCTAATTAAAACAGCCAGCGACATTAGACGTGAGGAACTAAACCATTGTGACTAAAGCTGAGGAAAATCTGCAAACTAAGCATTTTATCTTAAAGCATGCCTTTTTTTGAAGCTTCGTATGGTCATGAGTCGTGGGCCTTGACTGAAAAGCCTAAATCCCCTATGCAAGCCCTTTGAATGCGTTTTCCTAGATAAATCTCTGGGCTAACGCGTTTCGACATGTTCTCTGGAGTATGGAAACAAGCGAGAGCCTTGGTGTACAACTGCTTTTTCTACAGACCGAGAAGTCACAGCTGTGATAAAAGAGGCACGTGTTTGTGAATTCTGTGAGAAATGAAAATGCAACCGCTACAGTTCCGGAGGAAGACCCCGGGCACGGTCAGCAATCATCTGGAGAAAGTGTCTGGACTGTGCTCCGGACTCACGTTGCTTTCTACCGAGGCTGATACGCTGCCGCAGGAGACGGGACGTTAGAGGCAATGTCTGACGTGTGTACCTTCGCAACCTAAAAGGATTTGCGTCCATAGAGCTGACGACTGACTGGCACCACAATATCGCACCCAACCATAGATAGTATATCTAATCAACAGAGATAATCGTTAAGCAATATCGCTGAAACTTAAGAGCGGCTAATCATTGTCGAGATAAACAATCGACCGAGTGTCTTTGATTTGAAGGCTGCCATGATAAACCTATGTTATTAAAAGTGCTAGTAGTCCGTTTGGACAACAGCCATACGAACATGAAGAATGATTGTCGCTCGAATTGCCAACTCTAACAGTACAGGAGTCTGACAGAAGACAGCTTGACTGGGAATATGGAGCATGAAGTTTGAGCATATTCTCGAATGGAAACATATTTTGCATAGGTGGCAGTCATGCGCTACTTTCGGCTAGCCTGTTCGGTACGGTCAGTTAATAAACTGACCTTCTCTTACACAGGTGGCAGTACTGGACTAGCACAAGTAAGTCCGCATAATTGGTTTCGGCTACATAGTGCGAAGAGATCCGTCTCGAGGTCCGGAGGAACGGGTTCAAATCCTGAAAAAGACAAAAGTAACATTCCATCGCTAACTCTGTTCAGCAAGGAATTTATATCACCATGTTTCTGCGCAACCAGCTGCTGATCAGCGAACAGTAAGGCCAGACGGTACTCCAGTGTGGTAATACCAGATGGTCGAGTGGCACGGCAACCTTGTCACATAACAGTACCTCTTAAAACTGCAATTCTGATAACAGATTATTGAATGTGATGACGAACATAGATAGGGAAATCCTGCTACGGTTTTGTTATTGCTGTTTCTGGTATAAATGCATCACCGAAATGAATAATTACTTGCATTGAAAATATCCAAAAGTCGTCCAGAACATTGAGGTTATATTCTGTCAAAGAATCAATCAAGTCAATTCTTGTAAGCACAGGGAAGGTCAAAAAAATTTATTCAAAGTTCAGTGTTCGACGTCGATGATTATTCATTGCCTGAGATTACTTATAACCATTAAACCGTAAGGTTTTCCTTTGTTTCATTTGGCACTGAATCGGTTTCAGCTGTTGAAGATAGGTTAAAACCTTTAAAGGACTTGAATGGGAAAATGTACTTTCACAGAACCTGGCAATCTTGTTTTTTCACAGAATTTTCTCTGACCCAATTTTTCAAAGTTAGCATCGAATAGGTATACAGAAAAGTAAGACAATATTTGTCCACTAGGACGACGTACGAATGAATCTGGTCTTGATTCCAAGCATTGAGGACTTAGTTGGTTCACGCATCGGTAGCCACACTGAAAACAGCAAAAAACGTCGTTTATCTATGGACAGCGCAAATAATTTGGTCAGTCGAATGATTGACCAGTATGGGCCT